GTGATATTTGATGTTCACTCACTTAGCACATGTATGGGATTACGTTTGTGCCAATTAAAATGAATGCCATTCTGACACAAATCTCTCGTGGGGGCGGGGCTAGCAGTTTTAGCTAGAGTTTTTGATTGACAGCTTCTTGACCTGGAAGTGAAGACGTCAGTGACAGTGTTGCCTTGCCAGTGTGGATGTGAGCGTCTGTTAGCGGCTTCCAATTTCATTTTAGTGATATAAAGTTAGGAGTTTTGTTTTTGAATTCAATCTGTATTTATCTGTTGCTACTACATAAGCTTTTAGGAGCGCTAGGAATCAAACGCGAGAGAAAAAGAAGGTCATATTGAGGTTTAATTATTAAAGTACTGTATATAATACTGGAAATATTGTATAATGTCCAATGTTCTTGTAGGATATTTGTTTATTGCTCATGATTCTTTTGCATTGTAGGGTCTAATTAGGTTGTGCGGTTACATTTGAAATACTATCATATATGTGTGATATATTCAGACGTCAAGAAAGTCTCTCTCCAACCAGGCAATCAAGCTCATTTTATTACATATTCCATGTTCTTGCTGTTCTTGCAGCCAATTGTTTTTATCATGCTGATAATTTTGTTTAGTTATTTTATTTAGTCATCTAACGTATCTAACGTTTAAAGTTGGAAATACATTTTAACAATCATCAACTCTTTCAAGTGTGACTTTTATAAACCAGTTTTAATGAATGTAAATGAAAATATGAATTAGTTCAAATAAATGTACATTCTTTATTGTCACTATAGCATATACAGAAGTATCAAAGTGAAAGTCTTGGATGCAATTATGTTGTGACAGGAAAGACCAGAATCCACGAAACACTAACTGCATAGTATACATGTAATGCACAGTATTCTCATAATTTACATTACTACACAAAATGCACAAGAACATAATATACAGAATATGTTCACAATTCATAATATGTTTTAAACTGCAATGATCCTTTCAACAGTTCCTGTTACAGTATAAGTTACAAAACAGTGAATGAGTATGTTATGTAATGGAGTGCAATATCAGTCTTTACAGGAATATTCCACCCCAAAAAATGAAAATTCTCTAATTTACTCACCTTCATGCCATTCCAGATGTATATGACTTTCTTTCTTGACATAAACACAAAGATTTTTAAGAAAATAATCCATCTCTGAGAATCCACATAACACAAGTGAATTGTAACCCATGCACGTATGACAGTTGATCGGAAGTGATTGTTAATAGTCAAAAGTTTAAATTATTAGTGTTTTTCTTATCTGTTGTTTCACTTCAAAATATACTGATTCAACCATTAAGGTCAGATGGATTACTGTCACAGTAGCTGTGTGTGGTTTTTAAAGCATCTTTAGGACTCACAGAGATGGATTATTTGGCTAAAAATCTTAATTTGTGTTTACCTGTCCAGTCGAAAGAAAGTAATATGCATTTGGGACAGCATGAGGGTGAGTAAAAGATGAGAGAATTTTTTAGTATACATGTAATGCACAGTATTCTCATAATTTACATTACTACACAAAATGCACAAGAACATAATATACAGAATATGTTCACAATTCATAATATGTTTTAAACTGCAACAGTTCCTGTTACAGTATAAGTTACAAAACCTTATAGAATAGAACAAATTTAGGACGGTTTATACACAACATTTTATAAATGAGGCCCCTGGTCTTTTTATTTCAGTAATTGAGGAGGCCAACTGGCTAACATTACCAGAAGATGTTAAAAAACCTGGAGATGGGTTTGATGCAGTAATCTGTCTAGGCAATTCATTTGCTCATTTACCAGACTTCAAAGGTAAGAATACCAAACCAAAATATGTTTCATATTTTTACGGATTTATCTATTTAACTACTTTCTCATATTTCACAGGAGACCAGAGTGATCAGAAGCTTGCCTTACAAAACATAGCCAGCATGGTGAAACCTGGAGGGATCCTAATCATTGACCACCGTAACTATGATTACATTCTTGAGACTGGCCAAGCACCCCAAGGAAAGAATATTTTCTATAAGGTAGTTAAAGACCCACTGAGGTGTGCTGACCTAATTTTCAATGAAACGGGAAGTTAGGGCGAGACATATCGTGTGAGTCTTCCCCTTTTTAAAAAAAATAGCCAATAGTGTTTAATTTATGACACAGCCACAGTTTTATAAAATAAGAAGTTTAATAGATTACCCCTTTAGGCCATGTTTACACCTGCTATTAAGATGCGTTTTTGTCGATTTGATCACAAGTGGACAACGCTAAAGAAAGATGTAAAGGGGGTCTGAAAGGTTTTGAGCTTGTCTACTTTTGATCATTTCCAGAAATAAGTCGAAAACGCATTTGAACAGGTTGTGATCAAATGCGTTCGAACAGCCACTAAAGACTGCCTCCTCTCTTGCCAACTGATCTAATTCTTAAACATTATGGGACATGAAGCGTGCCCGCAGAATTGAAACTACTGAATTTGAACTACTGCCTACTGAAAGTGTAAATTTGGTTTGAAGGCGAAAAATGTAAAATGTTTTCTTACCAGTCCTGATTCTAACACAAACCCACAGCGTTCGGCATAGTTTTGCAGAAACATATTCAGTTGTCTCCTTTCACATTCAAATGTAAATATCAAGTAGATCACGTAAATCGTATTTTTCGCAATATTAGATTGAAAGATCAGAAAAAGCCATACATTCACCCGCCCATAGGCACTCCCTTCAACGAAATCAGGAAAATGTTCAGAAGTGGCCAAAAGAGACTGATTAAACAACAGGTGTTAACGGGATGTCTATTTGTGATCCGATTGGCCAAAACGCATCTTAATACCAGGTGTAAACAGGGCCTTAGAACTACTATTAGGAAAAAACAGTGATACTTTTCAGTAATACAGTTTGAAAATCCTGGTGCATGGCACCGGTGTTATCTCTTTTCCTCATCATTGCTGTTTATAATGCAGAAGATGTCTAACCATTTGCGACGTTTGATTCCTTCATTGCACTTTAAAATACAGCATTCTGTCTAGAATTCAAATGGGCTGGATACATTTTGTTGTCCGTGCTGACTCGTGCATATGATCCACTCTGTGATCGTGTCTCTGGACCAGAGCACACTGTGCATGCTGTGGAGGTTTGCATGACGTCATTCACCCCATTGGAAAGCATGTTTAAACTCTTTGAATCACCCCCTATCCTCTATATAGTGCAATATGTGCCATTTGCAATATATAACATACAGTATACATTAGTGAAAACTTCAAAATCATTTATCCATATTGGCAAAAGTGACTAAGTTTTGAATTCTTATATCTTCTAAATGCAAATTTTGTTAATGTTTTGGAGCACATTAGCTTATAGATATCCTTAAGACTAACATATTCATATCAAAAACACTTACGTTTTGTTTTCATGGGGCCTTTAAGAATCCAACTTTGTACTTGGGACCACAGTTCACTCCATTTTGTTTTAAGAATAGCCTATAGACTATAATTGTGCTTGGCTTTTGTCTGAAATCATGCATCCACTTGGTTTATTATTTTTTTACATCAGGGCTTAGCTGCAAAACTGTGAAAAAAGAGACAAATTCTCATAAATATTTTTTCAGCATTACCTGCCTAAACATGACAGGAATTAAAGGTGCAGTAATGCAATTTCTGAGAAACAGTGTTAAAAATTTAAATCAACATGCAAACAAACAATTCTGTGAATATTTGCTAGCTGTCTGTTCTGTGTGATGAAAAAATGGTGTTTAATTTTAAGGCTGTTAAACTAAAAGGCTTATGTGAAAGTCCAGTAATTCTGATGAAATATGGAAAAAAATCAGTGCTTGTTTTTCAGAGTGACCTGAAACAGGACATCTCCACCTCAGTACTGTGGGTAAATAGCAAGCCTCACATGATCACACTGGACTACACTCTGGAACTGCCTCAACCAGAGGATGTTCAGACTCCACCTGATACAAGGTACTGTGACCTGAGCTTTTGGTGGGGTCAGTTTTTGAGTGGTTGTGATCTGTGTAATTATAGATTACTCTATAGATTACTAATTAGAACATGGATATAATTACAAAAATGTGAATCTATTTATCTATCTATCTATCTATCTATCTATCTGTCTATCTATCATCTATACATACACTACCAGTCAAATACATGCAGGCTTGGTGAACAGAAGATATTTATATATATATATATTTATTTATTTATTTAAAGGTCTGATTCTCGCTATTAACAAACATTTTGCCTCAATAAAATCCTAATTAGCTGCTTATTAATAGTTAATAAGGAAGTTGTTAAGTTTAAGTATTGGGTAGGATTAGGGATGTAGAATATGGTCATGCAGAATATGTGCTTTATAAGAAATAATAAACAGCCAATATGTTAAGAATAGGCATGCTAATAAGCAACTAGTTAATAGTGAGAATTGGTCCCTGTACTAAAGTGTTAATTTTTTCTCTCTCTCTCTCTCTCTCTCTCTCTCTCTGAATACTTGAATAATTAGAGATGCTAATTTATCTGGGCTGAGAATGGTGACAACCCACACTCATTTTAACCCTCTGAGGGCCGTTTGTCTATAATGCACACTTGGGATGTTTGAACCCCAGTGTGTGTGTGTGTGTGTGTGTGTGTGTGTGTGTGTGTGCAGTAAAATGTAAAGAAGATTTACATTTTCAATGACAATTGGGGGGTCAGTAACAAAAGTAGCAGTCAGTATTTGGTGTGACCACTAGACTACAGTGCATCTCATCCTCATGAACTGCACCAGATTTGTTGGTTCTTGCTTTAAGATGCTACCCCACTCTTCAACCAAGGCACTTATAAGTTACTGGACATTTCTGTGGGGACATGTGGGTACACGTGGTTTGCCACTGCAAGAAAGATCAACTGTCCTTCCTGTCTCCCTGTATCACTGTCTTAGGCATCTTACATTACATACGTTGAAGTTTATTGCTTTGGCCACATCTGCAGTTCTCATGCCTACCTGCAGAAGGCCTGTGCCTTCATGAAGGTGAGCAGGGACCCTGGATTTTCTTCTGGTGTTTTCAGTCAGTAGAAGGTTCCCTTTACTGTCCTAGTGGCCTGTTCAATTAAATCAACGCTTGAATAGAACTTTTTCATTTCATTTTTTAACATTAATAAAAAGGACAGTGCAGGTACGAGCACAAACTCAGAACAAGTAGTTTCTGCTCTTTCTCCGGCTGGGATCGCGGGTGACGCGGAGACTGCCAGTACGTCTGCAGTAGAAGCTGCTGAACACGAGCCGATTGCAGTTGTAGCTGCAGAGATTGAATCTGATAAAACAGAGATTGTTACTAAGTCTAGTAAAAATTATACTCTTCTGATGTCCGATGAGCAGTCTGAACATTCTGAAAACGCTTGTGTGGCGGTGGCAGACACTGATGAAATGGATGTTGAAGACAATGGTGATTTTGAGGAAGTATTACATACGTTGAAGTTTATTGCTTTGGCCACATCTGCAGTTCTCATGCCTACCTGCAGAAGGCCTGTGCCTTCATGAAGGTGAGCAGGGACCCTGGATTTTCTTCTGGTGTTTTCAGTCAGTAGAAGGTTCCCTTTACTGTCCTAGTGGCCTGTTCAATTAAATCAACGCTTGAATAGAACTTTTTCATTTCATTTTTTAACATTAAGTAGCTTGGTAATATGGCAAATATACCTCTCTCTCTCTCTCTGTCGAAGTGCATGCTGGGAGTGAACGGAGTGTGGTGAGGGTGAGTGCGTGTGTAGCTGTGTGCTTAAAACTTTTCTATCTTCTATCTTTTTTGTGTGTGTTTGTCTTTTATGTGTTGAATTGTTTGGCTGTTTAGCATTTAGGGGTGTTTTGCGTCTGCAACCAGCGTTATGCTGGGAAGCATGATGAACCAAAACACAATGAGTTTTGATAATTTAACCCGCCGCCATGGAGTGAAGGTGGAGTCTAAAATCAATGTGGAACAGTGTTGTTTAGCGGTGGGAGAGATTGTGGGACATGATAATATTGTTTCTGCATCGCGGATGAACAGTACAGTTGTTCTTTTTTAAAAAACAGTTGAAAAGGCAAATGACGCTGTACAAAACGGCGTAGTGTTGAATGGTTCACTCGTGCCTGTTTTGCCTTTGAGTAGCCCGTCTAAAAAAGTTATACTGTCCAACGTACCTCCGTTTATCAAAGATGAAGTATTGTCGCGGATGAACAGTGCCGTTGTTCTTTTTTTATTAAAACAGTTGAAAAGGCAAATGACGCTGTACAAAACGGCGTAGTGTTGAATGGTTCACTCGTGCCTGTTTTGCCTTTGAGTAGCCCGTCTAAAAAGGTTATACTGTCCAACGTACCTCCGTTTATCAAAGACGAAGTATTGATACAAGAATTATCTCGTTATGGAAAACTGGTTTCCCCTATCAAAAAAATCCCTCTTGGGTGCAAGTCACCATTGGTAAAACATCTAGTCTCGTTTAGAAGACACGTTTTCATGGTGCTGAAAAATGGAACTGATGAGATCGATTTGATTTTCAAGTTCAAAATTGATGGTTTCGATTACACAGTGTTTGCAACATCTGACACTACAATTAAATGTTTTAATTGCGGTAAAATCGGGCATCTTGTTCGTGATTGTCCTAATAAAAAGGACAGTGCAGGTACGAGCACAAACTCAGAACAAGTAGTTTCTGCTCTTTCTCCGGCTGGGATCGCGGGTGACGCGGAGACTGCCAGTACGTCTGCAGTAGAAGCTGCTGAACACGAGCCGATTGCAGTTGTAGCTGCAGAGATTGAATCTGATAAAACAGAGATTGTTACTAAGTCTAGTAAAAATTATACTCTTCTGATGTCCGATGAGCAGTCTGAACATTCTGAAAACGCTTGTGTGGCGGTGGCAGACACTGATGAAATGGATGTTGAAGACAATGGTGATTTTGAGGAAGTAGAATCTGTCTTTAAAATCCTGGTTAAAAGAAAGAAAAAAAGCTTTGGAAAGGCTATTAAACAAGTCAAGAAAGATGATGGTGGTAGTGATGCTCCTTCGAAATTTTTTTTTAATTTGGAAATGAAAAAAGGTCAGAGTAAAATTATTCATTCTTTATGATCAGCTACAGGACAAGAATTCACTGAGCCTGCTGATATACGTAACTGTGCTGTAGATTTTTATTCTGACCTTTATAAATCTGAACTTGTGGATGACTCGAGTCTGTCTGCGAGTGAGAAGGTAACAGCGCAGGTAATTAACCCCGAGAGCGTGGGTGAGAAAAGCACTTCAGCTGCTATCAATGCTGATACTCCGATTTCTAAATCCGTTATGGAGATAGATATGCAAAGAGGCGATGGAGCGGTTAATGTCTCGCAGTCCGATTTGCTTTGGGATGGCGTTGAAATGGAGACAGAACAGAGCCAATTTAAAGTGCCAACAAAGAGGAAAAAGGCTGGCGATTTACAAGCTGTTAAATCAAAGAAAGCAGATGTGGAGGTTGTCTATAGTGACGATGAAATGGAAAGCGGTAGTGAGTCCTCTGATTCTAGTGTAAGTTTGTCTCAGAGTGACTTTTCTACCGGCAGTTATGAAGCTGAAGATATTAAACTCTTTCTCAGGGCTACAAAAAACCAAAGAGGGGTGCGTGTAATCGAGTATTTTCCCGACACAAAACAGTTTGTTGACAAAACTAGGCTTTTCATGTCAGAAGGTTTGTTTACAAACAAGGAGATATATCGATTAAAAAAGATAGTGAAAAGACTCTCGTCTGGTGATGTTAATGAAGGTAGTGAGAAAGCTTAATATTATGACAATGCATGTAATGGGTGTGTGTGTAGTTTTGCTATGTTTTTTGCTGGGTTTTAAAACGCAGGGGGCTCTGGTCAGATCGCGGTTCCAGAGTGTGAACCAGATGGATGCTCCTTCCAGGTTTTTTTTTAACTTGGAGAAGAAGAATGGCCAGAGTAGGGCCTTTCATGCCTTGCGCTCTGAGTGTGGTAGATTAATGACGGACCCTGCAGAAATACGTAAGAGAGCAGTTTTTTTCTATGAAAACTTGTATAAAAATGAGCTGGGAGCAGGATATGAGGGTGAAAGTGATTTTTTTGTCGACTTGCCTCAGATGTCAGAGAAAGCAAATGCTGAAATCTCAGGTGCTTTGAGCGAGGGGGAGCTGTATAAGGCCCTCCAAGGAATGGAGTCTGGTAAGGCCCCGGGGATCGACGGTCTGCCAGTTGACTTGTATAAGTCATTCTGGGCTGAACTGAAAGAGGACTTGCTGGAGGTATTGAACGAAAGCCTGGCTGAAGGCCGGCTGCCTCTGAGCTGCCGCAGAGCAGTTTTAACCCTCTTGCCCAAAAAAGGTGACCTTACTGACATCAAGTGTTGGCGACCCGTATCACTGCTCTGTAGCGACTACAAACTGCTCTCCAAAGTATTGGCTAATCGGTTAGCAGGGGTGATGAATTGTGTCATCCATCCTGATCAAACCTACTGTGTTCCCGGCAGATCGAGTTTTGATAATGTGTCTTTAGTTCGTGATGTTTTTGAGGTCTCCAAGATGCTTAATCTGGACTGTGGTTTAATTTCTTTAGACCAGGAGAAAGCCTTTGACCTCGTGGAGCATTGTTACCTTTGGAAAGTTTTAGAGTCTTTTGGTTTTTGCCAAAAGTTTATTGATTATATCAGAGTTCTTTATAGTGGCGTTGAGAGCATTCTTAAGATCAATGGTGGTTTATGTGCTCCTTTTAAAGTTTATAGAGGTGTTCGGCAGGGGTGCTCACTATCTGGCATGCTCTATTCTTTAGCGATTGAACCATTTTAATTATTATAAACATATGGACGATCTTGACACCTTTGAAAGTATTTGGTGCTGTAACGGTGCTTTGTGTTGTTTATTCGAAGCTGACGTGATTTTTACATTTATGTGATTGGTCTTTTGTCTTCATGTAAATTATGGTTTTGATTGTACTGTGACTTTCTACTTGTATTAAAGTTTTGTTAAAATTCAAATTCTCTCTCTCTCTCTCTCTCTCTCTGTCTCTGATCTCTCAACATGATTCATGTAACCTTCTCTTTATTAACCATCTGGTTAAAGAATGGTATATACCAAGTGCACCACAAAGTGGTCAACATGGTATAAATGTCATAATTGGCAGAAAAGGTGCATGAAATATGAAGCCAAATATTGTACAAACGTGTCCTAAACTTATCTTACTGTATATGTTCAGTAATAATATAAAATAAGAAAAATGCTAAATATTTCTTAGGCAAAATGTAGATGTTTAATTTTAGAGTTCAACTCAAAAAGTCAAGGCAAAAATGCATTCTGTGTGAATAGCCCCTCAGGACTAGCAATATGTGACGGTAGGGCTGGGATTTGATTCCATCAAGGGGAATCGACTCTGTAAGACCCTCTTTTAAATTTCTGAGGTAATATTGATTGGAAGCTTGCTTAATTTCTGCGAACAGGTTCATTCGCTTCCATGGACTGGTTTCAAAAAATGATTCAGCAGGTTTTTTTATTCCATTGCGTAATGGTGTTCATCACGTCACCTATAACACATTTCTAACAACTTAGTGTTATGTTGTCATGCTGAAGCATTTAAATAATGCCACATGTGAGCTCATATAGCTGATTCTTACCTGTCAATGGTGTTTGTTGTCACCATTTTATTCTGTTGTTCTGCATGTTGAACTTGTCCAAAATGTAAGCTTCTGACAAATATTGCGTAGTCTACATATTGGACAGGTTTCCAAAATTAAAGGGTGTTCAATCTGAATTTAATGAAGCGACGAGAACACTTTTTCTGTGCAAAGAAAACAAAAACAACGACTTTATTCAACAAATCGTCTCCTCTACGTCAGCGTAACGCCAATTTGGAGAATTTCCGAGAATATACCTTGTTCTGTGTCAGCCGCGCCACAAGGAAACGTTTTCTACTCTTTGATTTGAACGAAAACAGCATATCCTTGTGGCGTATCCAAGACAGGAAGGACAGCTGTTCGTGTGTGTGTCCCCACCCTCCTCCCAGAAATGTCTGGGAACTTGGAGGTGCAAGGATAACCTCTCACAGCAAGAGCTAACAAATCTGTTGCAGTCCATGTGGATGAGATGCACTGAAGTACTTAAAGCAGCTGATGGCCACAACAGATACTGACTGGTACTTTTGAAATTCCAAATTTGTTTGATTTCCTTTTGAGTTACACAAATGAAATTAAATGAAATTAAATATCTGAAGAATTTTTCAGCTGTTTTGTCCATAGAATTAAACAATAGGGGCATAAAGATAGCGTAAAAGTAATCGATACAACACCAGTTTTCTGAAGTGATATGTTCACTTTGTATGATGAACAGAACGAAATGTAGTTGCCATCATGGTTAGGTCACCCAAAATTTAAATTCTGTCATCATTTCCCAAACCCATAAAACTCTTTAATTCCACTTCAAAACACAAATTAAGATGTTTTTAATAAAACCTGAGAAAGTTCTGTCCCTCCATTAAAAGTCTGTGTCTGTTTTTATATCCATTTGCAGTATAGTTGTCCTCTCCGTCTTTAACTGTACTGAGCAAGAGCAAACTAGCACAGTGACGCTTGCAAAATTGGCATCTTACAATTTATTATTAGCTATACTTTTAAAACAATCATCCATATATTATCTAAAATACAGTATGCACAATCTGCAATAATACACCATCCAGTGATGTCATGCTTTGTTTATACATTTAAAATAAAAAATTAAAATAATAATAATAATAAAAAGATAAGATGTATGAATGATTTGTCTGATGACTGATCAGATTTCGTGTGCTAAGTGGCCAAACAATTAGTGCATCCCTAGTACATGCAAAATAATTTCTAGTAAGCAATTAAGATAAATGTAAATTACTTGTGGAATTCCAATAAATATGTTGCTCACCAAGTACTCAGAGTCATGGCTATTTAGATGTTTGACACAAAACGGTTGCTGAACGGTTCTTTCGATACCTCACTACTTGAGGTTTTCACTGAACTGTAGCTATTTTAAATGAAATAAGTGGTGTGTGTGTGTGTGTGTGTATCAGGAATTGGTTATACATGATGTTACATGCATGATGTTCTTAAAAAGTTTTATTTTCTGTCTTGTAGTAAATTCCGCCTGTCATACTACCCCCATCGTTTGGAGAGTTTTAAGGAGATTTTGAGAGCATCGTTCTTTGGAAAATGCGAGCACAATGTATATGGAGACTTCAAGCAATACACCCCAGGGCAAGGAGAGGTGCCCTGTTATTTCATTCATGTGGTTAAAAAGACTACTTAAAGCCACATGCATTCTGCCATTTCTCTTTTTCTTTACTCTTTCATGTTACACATTCTTAAGCATTAAAAATATAAATGTACATTGTACTTTACAGAACACTGCTGAGAGCATGTCACACAGAATGTGTTTTTGTGTTCCACTGTGCTGCTTAATTGTTTTTTTTTTTTCTATGTAAACATGCGCTAGACGGATGTCTTTGTCCATTGATCCACACGTCAAATTACAGAAGTCAAAATAAAAAGATAAATGCATAAAAACCCCTTTTTCACCCCTGAATATTAAAGCATTATGGAATATGCTATGTAATATAAACAGATAAGTAAGTAATATAAGAATGGTTGTTATACAAGTCCGCAGGTATATCCATGCTATTCAGACTAACAGCACTAATCGTGCTGTAATATTACTTTTAAAAACGAGCAATATAATTATTTCCAGTCACTCTGTTTGGAACGGTGTAGCAAAAATAGACGAAGCTGAATTAGCAATTCATACTGTGTGTTCGAGAAACACAGTGTGAATGTTTTTGAACAAATTGTGTTGTGTTAATAATTTAACTGCTCACTTATAAAGACAGTTGTTTCCAACTACTGGCTTAACATTGTAACCTGAAGAAAGAATCGCTGAAAAATCCTTAGCAATTATACAGTCGGCCTGTTTGGAACATGGTGCAAACACAGATAAACAAGATGATACAAACAGTGTAAGTAAAAGCGTGATTAGGATCTACATTAATCGTTACACATAAATCGTAATAACTTACACATACATAATGAACCATACACAGTATAAATATAGCCATACAAATATGTATATTACTGAATGTTCAGACAAATACATATCACTGCTGTATGTCTTTCAAAAATGATTTAAAGTGCTGATTCTTTACTATTTTTCAGGGTGATTTAAATATGCACTGGCTAATACATAGTGTAATGATCTGTAGGTATGCAAAGATTAAAGTTTACTGGACCTTTTTTTTTTCAATGTTCAAACTGTATTTTCTTTAACATCTTATGGAGTTAAAGCCGGTGTTTCTTTAGGTTTGCTCATTGAGGGTTGTAAGGCTTTATTTCATTTTCCTTCTTGTGTTTGACCCATATCAAAATCCTTCGACACTCACACAATGTCAGGACTGTCTGGCGTTGAATTCCAAAATAAAAGCCCTCCAAAAATGAATATATAACCTTCCCCTTCTGTGTCCTCTGTCCTTTTTTTAAAAAACAACAAGGCTTGCTCAGTTGGGGTTTAAAATACTATTAATATTGAGAAATTAATATTAATTATTAATAAATTAATATTAATTACTATTAATATTATTCAGCTGCACTGACGTTATCATACCTCAACCTCCATTGCTTTCAATAAGAAACCTTTGTCGTCAATAGACAGACACGAAGGGCAGGGAATTTTATTGTCATGATGAAATTATATATTGGGTAATAATTTTGCCATCATGACATATATGTTGGAGTATGATTTTCAATTTGAGCAGCCACAACAATTTTATTTATATTACATTACGCTATTTAGACATTTTTGAGCACATAATCCAACCCCCAAACCTAACCATTTTCAAAATAAAACACAGGATATATCTGAAAGATAGTATCACAGTCAGGATTTATTCAAAAAGTACAAATATCCCATGTCCTCCAAAGCCGAACGAACGATTGATTTGTGTGAGGAACAGACACAATCATGTCTCCATCCACCGGAAAGTTTAGATTCTGTGCATACATTCAAAAATTGCCACCAGAAGAAGCATTACGTCAGCTTTGGTTATGAAATGCCATTAGCTCTTGTGTGTCTTGTGACCAACTGCATCATGCTAAGGTTCGGGTGTAGCTTTGAAATGAGATATGATATGACCATGTTAACATGGAAATAAAATGTGACAACATGCCCCATAGGTGGGGCACATTGTAACGACCATATGACAGCTTAAAATGTTATCTAATATATATATATATATATATACACATTATGTATATGTGTTTATATATATGTGTATGTATATATATATATATATATACATTATATATATATGTGTGTGTGTGTGTATATATATATACATACATACACACAAGACAAACAAATAGTTTGTCAATAAAATAAAATTATTTACTTTTTCAAATAAAATGTATTTTTTTAGGAATTAAAAATAAACAAATTTTGGAGTTTGACAATGAACACATTGCAACATTGCTTTACAGTTCTTGAAATAATAATTTCAGAACATTGAACATTGACTCTCAGTCTTTATTCACCTGTCTCTTATGATTTCACATTAAAATTCATGAAAGTAATTAATGTAAATTACATCGCTAATGTCATAGAATAGCATAGATCTAATAATAGCTGGGCACATTGTAACTCAGTGTAATGTTTCCCATCTGCGCAACTGGAATTTAAAACAGGTTATCAGGGTTGCCAGGTTTTCAACAGAAAACCCGCCCAATTGCTACCCAAAACGTACTCAGTTACTAATGTAGGATATCAGACCGAATCAGACGACAACAAAAGGGAACCCCGGACACGCAACGCAAGCACCTCCAGATCCTAGCTGAACTGGTGCATTTAATATAAATTCTAACCGTTGCAGAATTGATGTCATACGGCTCGTTCAATGAATCGCTGGCCGTCTCAGTGATCAGCCGTAAAACAGTGATTCGGTCCAAATTCCCTTTAAAATCTTAAATGATTCCCTTTGAGCTAAATTGACCTGTTTCCCTTACACTAACATAACCTCGGTTCCCTGAGATACGGGAATGAGCACTGCGGGAACGCTTATGGGGAAAACTCCTTTTTCTCTGATAACTGAAGCCTTTTTCAATAATGCAGTGTAACTGCACCAACTCCATTGGTTCATGCAGTGAAATGAAAATGAACCAATGGCGAAGTAGCAGAGCTGCACAAGCCTATGGCCACGAAGTCTGTCAGAGCCCGCCAGAATGGCCGAGTCCATCTGGCTATATAAGTGGGCATTCTGGCATAGGATCCTCAGGTTAATTTGAATGAAGCAACGGCACTGAGTCATGCAGCGTCATAGCGTGGCTAGCAACGCAGTACTCGTTCCCGCATCTCAGGGAACCGAAGTTGCGTTAGTAACCGAGTACATTCCCTATTGGTACTTCACTCGTACTGCATCACTAGACGCTTATGGGGAATCATTACAATCCCGCCGTGCCATGACAGAGGAACGACTATTATATGAACTGGCCTTAAGCATCTAAGGGCTCAGCGGGACCAAGTATAGCAGGGTAAGCCCCGCAGGAGGCAAGAGGGCTGAACTCGCAGAGGTCAGTCCGGCCTTGGATAATCGTTCCAAAAAAGATCCTATAAGCTGCTATAGCTGCTACATAGACCTTGAGGGTGGAAGGGGAATGGCCCTTATCCAACAGCTCTTAGAGGAAGGACAATATCACCAATATGTCACAGGAAGTTAGGTCTTTGGGTTGTGCACCAGGTGGAGAAGACGGACCATTTAAGAGCATAGAGGCATCTCGTAGACGGGGCTCTAGCCTGTGAGATAGTATTTAAGACAC